CCCTGCTAACGATGGAAAATAGCCTGTAATTATATTGCAGAGGTTATCTTGTGATTTATTTATGTTTTGTGCTACATTCGGAGGCAGCCTTTTGTAACTGTTCATTCATCTGGAAAAACTTATTAGGAAATATTTGTTTCTGTGTAGCTAAATATGTGCTCTTTGCGCGAAACGGGCGGGTGAGGGGCGAGAAAGAGCTCTGCATGTTTAATTGACAGGGAGTTTGATGATCTCACTGTTGAGAGAGTATTTATTCCCAGGGATTGGAGTTGAAACAAAAGCCAAAATATTTATTGGTGAACTTTAAACAATGGATATTGGAAAACTCTCACAAGATTACTAAATACCGTGTTATGTACTGTGGCTAGTCCCAACTATGGGTTCCAGCCTGCTTCTTGTGACAATATGCAGTTTAAGATTAACCACCAAACTGCGCTCAAAACTAAACTCCAAATTGAATCCTGGCAGCAGCAATCATGGGCAAGATAACCAATATATTTTCTTATATCAATGTTACACCCCCAAAAAAGTACAATTAGTAAGCAGTTGCTGCCTGTGCAATTAAATACATTTGCTCAACGCAAGCAGATAATGTCACACTATAGTAGTTGGTTTTCTTCCAGCATAACATGCCACTAAGCCCCAGAAAGGAAGAACAGTAGAAGGCCGCATTTCACATGTGGTACAACGCTGCCCCCCCCCCCCCGTTATATCACCGGTTGTTTGATTAAGAATACCAAATATTGCGTTATTTTCTGTGTCTTTCCTCCAACCCTCGCACTGCAAGCATTTGTTTCTGCCCCTTCTGAAAAGCAAGTGCTCTGTGTCAAGAAGAGAGCCAAACAGCCTCAGAACTGCAGCTGAACACCAGAAAAAAAGCCTGTTTTAAAGAAGTGAATGCTCCCCTTCATAAAACGGGAAATCCTATTTGCTTAATACTGTTACACGCTGCTCCCCAATCGCTGAGCAGTGTAAGGTTCCAGGGGCGCCAGTCGTGTTTACCCAGGTTCTGTGTTTCCCTTTGGACAATGAGGCGAAGCGGAGATTGTGGTGTCTTTCCACATATACACAACCTGAGCCTGGGATGGAGGGGCTTCCAGCCTTACACTCCAAGAGGGTCCCGCTCCTCCCCATGTCAGGGTGGCCAGGACTTTTCCTCCAGCCCACATCACCCCCAGCTGCAATCCTTCCAACTCTCTACACTCTGTCTTTTGAACTGAGCTGAAAGTGGGTCGCCTCTCATTTGCCCTCTGGCAGACAGCCACTCCCTTTGTTCCAGTTAAGGACCCATCACTAGGCTTGCTTGCATTTTAACATACTAAATCCAGTGTCTGGCACCCAGGAACTGGAAGGGGATCCCAGGAACCCCACAAATTCATGACAATAATATCGCTTTAAGAGCAAAATCACAAGGGACATACAGTAGTACCTCGGGTTACATACGCTTCAGGTTACAGACTCTGCTAACCCAAAAATAGTACCTCGGGTTAAGAACTTTGCTTCAGGATGAGAACAGAAATTGTGCTCCGGCAGCGCAGCAGCAACAGGAGGCCCCATTAGCTAAAGTGGTGCTTCAGGTTAAGAACGGACCTCCGGAACGAATTACCGTATTTTTTGCACCATAACACTCACTTTTTCCCTCCTAGAAAGTAAGGGGAAATGTCTGTGCGTGTTATGGAGGGAATGCCTACGGGTGGCATGCCTACGGATTTTCCTCCTCTAAAAACTACGTGCGTGTTATGGTCGGGTGCGTGTTATAGAGCGAAAAAAACGGTAAGTACTTAACCCAAGGTACCACTGTAGTTCCAAATGTGTATTAGATTCCATTTAAGGCTGACCAGACCAGAGGAGCATCACACACCAAGACACAATGTTTGGGCTGTGACATGTTCTTCTAATGAGGCACTCATTTTGCCCCATTTCCTCAAGTGCAGGATTTGGCACGTTCTATTTTGAATGTTGATTATACACTGACATCAGAAATTGTTATTTAGACCCATGTTTCAGGAAAATGAATTTCTGGGCTGCTAAAAAGAAACTGGGTTTTCCTCATTATGTGGCACAAAGGGTAGCTTCCTTTGCAGAAAAGGCTGTCATGCCAAGGGAAAAGGACGTGGGCACAATGGCTGCAATCTGCCCTGAAGCTTTGCAAGCAAGAGAAATGAACCTTGATATAAGCTTATGATGTTTTGTATTAAATAAATAATGTGTGTTATTTTAAGAGTATGCTTTATGCTTTATCATGAATTTTGAATAGTGAGCAAGTAGTGATTTTTTAAATGTAAGTTTATGTAAATTTTGTTACCTGGTTGAAATGCTGTTATCACACTCTGTGCTATGGTCTAAGGTGGTGGTTCCAAACTTTTTTTTTGGGGGGGGGACACCCCCTTGGTTCCATAAATGCATCCCCAGTGCCCTGCCCTAGAAAGACCACTTTTATTCAGAATAGCAGTTTGCACAACCCATTAGAGAAACAATAAAATTCAGTCATAATTCATTGCACATTTATTCAAAATCCAATTAAAACTATTTAGTTTAATTAATTCAACAAGATGAACTTGATCGAGTGATGCTAGCTTTTCGAAGTCGTTTATACCTTCCGTGCCCCTCCACCCCTTACATCTTAGGCCCCTAGGTAATCTCACCACCCACTAAGGGAGCACTGGCCTTAGGACTAATGCCATAAAGGTTCCTTTTTTTCTACCAGTGCTGCAGTGTGGCAGGAGAAGGGCCGGAAGTGAGCCTTTGCAACACAATAGGTATTTCTGGCCCAGCTTCTTCTAGCAATGCCTACAGCATCCTCACCCCACTGCCTGTAACCTGAGCTAGAGCTGGGCTAAGCGAAAAGCTCCCTCCTTGCAGTGGCAAAGTTCCTAATGCCCTTTTCCTCCTCCCTGTGCCCATTTCAGGATATCTTTTCAGGCCAAACGCTCACTTCAGACAGCACTGGGGGGGGGGGGTAGCTGTGGAGAGGGAATTGTAGCTGCTCAACATGGATGGGATAACTGAATGCTCATAGGAAAGGCAACAAGAACAGATGAAAGGAAGTATAAGGTGGTGAGAAAAAGAAAGAACTGAAACGTGGGAGAAGATGTTGGCAGAGAGGAAACAGCAGCAGGGAGACAGCTGGTCTTTGGAGGGCTGTGAAAGAAGGCGGCAAGTCTGAGAGAGTGCCGGAAGGAGGCAAAAAGGCCGAAGGTGAGAGAGAAGAAAGAGATACAAAGGCAAGACAGGTGACATGAGGAAAGAAAAGAATGATGGAGAAAGAAAGGAGGTGGCAAAAGGAACAGGAAGCAAGTGGAGATACAGATGAGGAGGGACAGCTGAATCCTTTTGGATGTCATGGAAGCCTTTTTGGTAAGAAAATGCAACCAGAATGGTGGTAAAGATGACCCGGCCTCTTGCACAACATCAAAGACAAGCTTTGCTGAAGAGAAAAACCCAGGGAAGCAAAGAAAAGACACAACTACTAAAAGGGTCCAAATATTTCCTCAACAATGCATGAAAGATGGGCTTACAGTCATACCTTGGTTCTCGGATGGAATCTGTTCCAGAAGTCCTTTCGACTCCCGAAAACTTTTGAAAAGCAAGGCGCAGCTTCCGAATGGCTGCAGGAGCTCCTTGCACTCAGTCGGAAGCCGCATCGGACGACCAGCTTCCAAAGAACATTTGCAAACAGGAACACTCACTTCTGGGTTTGCAGTGTTTGGGAGCCAAAACGTTCGAGTCACAAGGCATTCGAGAACCAAGGTACGCCTGTACTAGTATTGGAGGGGGGCGGGGAACAGCATCCCCGTCCGTCAGTGTGTGAAATGTAGCAAGACACAAGCAAATGAACGTTTGGAATTTAGAAACAGAGCATCCAATTATTAAAACAAACCTGTTGGTTGAGGGGTTTCCCCCCAAAATGGACACACTGTTTTCTGAAGAGCAAAGAAACCTTGCTTCATCCATTGCACACAGAGGAGCACTAGCTAGCTTTCCCGTGTGTGGCCGTGGCCGCTGTCACATGCTGATGGCTTCTTAGAGCCACAGGTGAGAGCTGAGTTCAGGGTGGGGACCAAAGGTCTCTCCCTCTCCTTACACCTCCGTAAACATCAAGGTGGTGTGCCACTATAGCACATAAAGCACTATAGATAATCATTAGCATTGCTGGCCAATCAGCTGTAAAGGCCTGTAGGTATAGAAAGGTCTTCCAGAGACATCTGACAGTCACGAGCAGCTTCTCTGAGGAGCCTTGTCTCCAGCAGCAAAGTCATCCATCGCCTTCCTTAAGGATGAAATCCTCCACTTCCTTTGGAGACACGGAGCCTCACTCTCACGGCCAAATAGGGTTTGGGCTTAGGGTGCTCAGGGCCATCATCTCTGCTCCCAAGGAATGCTCAGTGTCCCTAACCGCACACGGGAATAATGTCTGCATGTGCCTTGGAACCAGTACAGTCTATGGAAACAGCCTAGTGGCATCCACCACTCGCTGCCTTTAGCTGGGGGGCAGTCTCCAAAGCCTGGCAGTGGTCAAAGAGTGGGGCTCCCCATGGTGTGCTGCTAGGCTGCAGGCACCCTAGAGAGCGAGAAAGTGGGAGCAGGACTCCCCAGGACAAGGAACAGAGCAGATGAGCAAAGGCTGGTCCAGAAGTTTTTGCACCTCTTCCTCCTTAAGGGACACCCAGGGGCTGCTGGAGGGTGTGCCCCACGGAATGGAGCTCAGAGCTCTGCAAAGATTTCCACCTGCATCCCCCCCCCCCCGTGGCCCTCGCTGGCAGCTCCCACTTCTAGCTCAACAGTTCCTGGTGGGACTAGGAGCAAAGAGGACACGTGCCCCACAAAAGCCTTTCCTTTCCAGAATCCCGCCGCGCAATTCTTGAATTCGCCCCACACTGGGAAGCAACTGCGAGAAGCAAACCGACAACAAACTTAATGTGGGGCAGCCGGAGAGCAAAGCGAGGTCGGCTGAGATTTCCTTGCAGGAAGGAAGGAAGGAAGGCAGCGCGCCGGCTTACCTGCTGGCCTCGCCGCCGCCGCCGCGTCCCTGCCAGGCGCCCCCGGAGCAGCGCCGGCCGGCGGCCGGGACAAAGCGCGCCCCCGGGCGGGATCCGCCGAGAAGCGGCTCCGGTTGTCTTTCCGTTGCCGCTTTTCTCCCAGCCGCGCCTGCAGCCCAAGCCGGGGGCGGGCGGGGCTTGTGCCGCGGAGGCAGCTCCTCGAGGAAGCGCCCTGCCCAGGAGGGGGATCCGGCCCCTGGCGAGGCCGCCATCCCTGCCCCCGCGCAAGCATCCCTGAGAGGTCCCCCCCCCCCCGGGATGCGTTGCCTCAAATCATCTATCCAAGGCAACTGGATGCTTTTGTCTTTATTCTGCAAACCACCCTGTGATCATCAGATGAAGGGCGGTATAAAAATTATTAATGATAATTGCAGCCATGGTTTCCTCTGGGTAAAATGATTTCTGATTTGGAAGTAAGACTGTCGTTCAAGGCACACTTAGTTGAAAGCAAATCACACAGAACTAAATTGAGTGGAACTTGCTTTCAAATAAGTGTGCCTATGATTGCAGCTTTACTTCAAAATCGGAAATAACTTTATCTGGAGGAAACAACAGCGGCATTTGTAATCCACTTGCTGAGCAAGAAAGTGATTTGCATGCATGTACAAGGGGTGGACATTCCTATGTGGTCCCCCCTTTTTTTTGCTGTTTAATTTAGTGGCAGGCCCATTCAGACAAGGACAAATCCCTAATTTTGACATTCATTTCAAAATGTCTGAACAAATTACCCAACACCTACTGACCAAGTCAAGAACTTTTCTAACACCACTACTAGAGTTTCAGCAGAGGAAAGGTTTAAAAGGCCTTGATGGGTGGAAAACCCTTGTGTTCTTTTCATTCTGCTTTGTCAGTTGAGAACTGACACAGGGGAAGATGATTTCGGTGGTGGCATCTGGACTTCCCCCTGCCTGCTTCGCACCAGGCAACTCCTGTTTTGAAAGTCAAATGCTGATGGCAGACTAACTGCACGGGGGACCTTCCTGCAAAGAAAACATCCTGCTTTTCCACTTCCACTTGACGCTGCAGTTTGCAAAGCCTTTCTGGAGACACAGAACAAACAGCAGGGACCCACACAGACAGACAGACAGACATTCTGCCAGAAAAAGAGAAGGATGTTATTCCAGGGCCCACCTATGGCAACATAACCGTTTGCATCAACTCCCAAAGCTTTTAAGTACAGGAGAAAACATGGCCCAGCTAACCAAAATATTGTTTCTCCAAGCACAGACAAAGCACACTTGCATTGCCTTGTAATTCATTCAGCTTAGGGACGCCCCCCGCTGTGCCTGCCACATCACGTAAAGTTGAGGCTGTGTAGCGGTTTAGTGAAATGTATGTTCTGCTTCTGATGCCATTCTCTACTCCAAGGGAAGGAGGATGGCTGCATGATTTATTCATGCCTTGAGAGAGACATTGGACTCCTGTCAGTGCCAATTTTTCATTTAAGAAAAAATTCTGTTACTTCCATGGCTGATTGGTGGCCACTGAATCTTAGCAAGTGTAAGTATAAATGAGAAGAGTTCCTAAAGTTACGGTTCCTATGCCTGAAAGGACAGAGGATTGCAAGTACAGACAAGCCTGGTGCTTCTTTTCCTTTCCCCTTTTACTGCTGTAGCTGAGATATGAGAACAGGAAGAGGGTGGGATTGTTTGGATTCTGCAGCTTCCTTGTGGGTTAAAGACATAGATCTCAAGTGCATGCTTGCCCCAACTACTGTTGTTGAAATGGAACGCAGAGTGCCAGGGCCCTGCAGATAAAATGGTGGGACCTCCCTCTAGGAATTTCATCACGTGTTTCAAAAAAATATTGCACATACGATGCCTTGTGAATTTTTAGAATTGTCTAGTATCAATATGCAGCACTCCAAATTTTGCAGGTAATCTTCCCAGAAATGTTAAAAATATAGAGACAGTCCAAACCTACTACATAAATACTTTGAAACGTGAGGATGCAATATTGGTGGGAGTTCCCTTTTAAACTTACAGTAAAGGCTGGTGGGTTTCTGATGGCATCTATGCTTTGAGGCTAAATTTATTCTGGCCAGCCTGAATCTGTCACAAGACAGACATCTTGGATAACAGCTCCATACAAGATGAGCCAGGAATCCTGGGAACCAGTGTGTTCCAAGAAGAAAGAGAAATCCTGCTGCCTCCGAGTGCCTGTCTTGCTCCAACCCTGCCGTGCCTGGAGACAGCCAGGCAGCTCATGCATTCATAGCAGTAACCAGAGGAGCAGCAGAGAAAATAAACGCCCTGGTGCATCTGAATCAGTGCAACCGGATGCCTTCATCTGCCCCAGCTGCAACAAAGCATGTCTCTCCCACATTGGTCTCTACAGCCACAGCAGGTGCTGCAACCTTTCAACCATTTGATTTCACCCCCAAAACACTCTCCTCCATTGTTTCCTAAGACAGTTGGATGCCAGCAATGAAATTCCAATGGATTAGCAAGGTGTCAGGGACACGGGTGGTGCTGTGGGTAAAAGCCTCAGCGCCTAGGGCTTGCTGATCGAAAGGTCAGCGGTTCGAATCCCCGCGGCGGGGTGCGCTCCCGTTGTTCGGTCCCAGCGCCTGCCAACCTAGCAGTTCGAAAGCACTCCCGGGTGCAAGTAGATAAATAGGGACTGCTTACTAGCTGGAAGGTAAACGGTGTTACCGTGTGCGGCTCTGGCTCGCCAGAGCAGCGATGTCACGCTGGCCACATGACCCGGAAGTGTCTCCGGACAGCGCTGGCCCCCGGCCTCTTGAGTGAGATGGGCGCACAACCCTAGAGTCTGTCAAGACTGGCCCGTACAGGCAGGGGTAAGGTAAAGGTAAAGGTACCCCTGCCCGTGCAGGCCAGTCTTGCCAGACTCTGGGGTTGTGCCAGTCTTGCCAGACTCTGGGGTACCTTTACCTTTTAGCAAGGTGTCTAAGACACAATTTAGGAGGTTTGTCTAGCTCAGGGGTCAGCAACCTTTTTTAGCCATGGGCCAGTCCACCATCCCTCAGACCTTGTTGCGGGGGGGGGACTATATTGGGGTGGGGATGAACAAATTCCTATGCCCCACAAATAACCCAGAGATGCATTTTAAATAAAAGGACACATTCTACTCATGTAAAAACACGCTGATTCCCGGACCGTCTGCAGGCCGGATTGAGAAGGCGATTGGGCCACATCTGGCCCACGGGCCTTAGGTTGCCTACCCCTGGTCTAGCTAAATTAGTTCTTTCACACCTTTAATTTCAGAGAATTAAAAGAATCTAACACAGAGCTCAAATACAGGAATGGGTCTAGCTTTCACCTCACATCAGAGACTAGCCTACCTTAATAAGCTTTTGATGCCCAAGCCTGAATTAAATTCTAGCACCTACAAACCTCTAACAGTATAATACATTTTTAGAATTACTTTAAGGTAAAGGTAAAGGTACCCCTGCCCGTACGGTCCAGTTGTGTCCGACTCTAGGGTTGTGCGCCCATCTCACTTAGGCCGGGGGCCAGCGCCGTCCGAAGACACTTCCGGGTCACGTGGCCAGCGTGACGAAGCTGCTCTGGCCAGCCAGCACCAGCGCAGCACACGGAAATGCCATTTACCTTCCCGCTATAAAGCGGTACCTATTTATCTACTTGCACTTAGGGGTGCTTTCGAACTGCTAGGTGGGCAGGAGCTGAGACCGAAAGACGGGAGCTCACCCCGCCGCGGGGATTCGAACCGCCGACCATACGATCAGCAAGCCCTAGGCACTGTGGTATGGAAGCTCTGAGGGTACTGGAGAATTTTAATATGACTGAAGTGACCTATATGCAGTAATGAATGGTGGAATGGACGGGAGGCGTAGAATATATGGAACCGACAGGTGACTGAGAAACAATATATTTTTTAATAAAAAACCAACAGTTCTTTTGCTGCATGGAGCACCAGAATAACTAAAGATCCAATGGACTGTTTCTTTAATAAAATATATAGCCCAGTCAAACAGATTTTTTTTTACTTCTTCTATTTACCAAATATAAGGTATTAAATATACAGTTCTCTGCACAGAATCTGACTACAAAAGGGGTTTAAACAAGCATAGCAAGCACTCATGTCCCCCACCCCATCTTCCGTCTTTCTGTGCCTGGTTCAGTGCCTTTGAGAAGACGCTGCAGCATTGAAAACAGGTGAGCTGGAAGAACTGTTCAATTCATACAAGGGCTGGAATGAAATATTGAAGAGAAACATCTTCGTGGAGCAAGATGAAGTGAACAATCCTTTTGCTTGCAATATCTGCAAAACACAAGTCCATATTTTAAACTTCAAAGGATGACAGAGGGCCCAAAATATCACGTTCAACAAGAGCCAACATTCTCCAGTTTTGAAGGCCACACAGATGCAGAGGCCAAGCTGCAGGTGGCCTGGAATATTTTGAACATGGCTACAATCAACCTCCAAAACTTTTCAAAACTGTTTTTCCCAACCAGGAGAAAGACAACAAAAAGAAAAGCTGCGTCAGGTCCTCCCTCCTAGACAAAAGGCACTTTCAACAACCTCCACTTGACAGCAGACCTGACTCTGCCTACAGATGCATATGCCATGGTGGAGCTGGGCAAGGGAGGGCTGAGTTGAGTCACATAAACATGATTCATACATACATATATAATTTTATTTGTATGCCACCTTTCCACAGTTAAAACCATGCTCAAGGTGGCTTACAACATGGTGGTGGACGGGGACGGAACCTAATTACAAATATAAGAAAAGTAGTCATAAGCAATAAAGAAATATCAAAATATACACAACCAAATCTCCATATAAATCATAACATCTAAAATAAAGATACGGAAAAATTACCGTATTTTTCGCCCTATAGGACACACTTTTTTCCCTCCAAAAATGAAGGGGAAATGTGTGTGCGTCCTATGGGGCGAATGCAGGCTTTGGCTGAAGCCTGGAGAGCGAGAGGGGTCGGTGAGCACCGACCCCTCTCGCTCTCCAGGCTTTGCGCAGCTCTCCACAAGCCGTGGGAGCCTGGCGCTGGGCTCCCACGGCTTGCGGAGAGCTGCCTGTTCTGGGGGCTGGGGTCAGGGGAAGTTCGGGCTTCCCCTGCCCCAGCCCCGCACCTGGGGGGGAAGTAATTTTTTTTTACTTTATTTCCCCCCAAAAAAACTAGGCGTGTCCTATGGGCCGGTGCGTCCTATAGGGCGGAAAATACGGTACTATCAATAACAGTAACAATCCCCCCATGG